TTACATTCCGGAATTTTATTTTCCGGTGTTTTATCAATCCGGATCATTTATTTTCCGGAAAATTACGGCCTACCACATTTTACGGTTGATAGCCAAAAACCGCACAGTTTATCGGTAATTGTATAACAAATTACCGTACATTTATAGTGGGTTAAAATCGCACGCCATTTTTAGTGAAACTAGTGAAAAGATAAGATTATAAAATATGTACTATTCAATAATCAAGTATTTAGTTGTCACTCGTTATTAGTCGGTCTCGATTCGGTTAGGGTACCTACATCTATAATTTAGTGTTAAAACGTTAATATCTTAAATTGTTATAATGGATTTTAAAATTATTGAAAGTAACAAAGGGGGCAAGTGCTTATTACTTGACGATTTTAAATACCAAAAATTTAGAGTCAATATTAGTGGAAATGTGGTTTGGTGGTGTTATATTAAAAATTGTACATCCACGGTTACAACATGTAGTCAACTGAAGAATATACTAAAAATAAATAACACATACAAACATGAACAGGTGGAAACTGTGAAAATTCAAATTCAAGAGGTACGTAATGTATGTAAACGCAAGGCTTGTAATGAAATTCATGAAAGACCGCAAAAAATAATACGGAAAGAAGTATCATCCATAGACAAAAATGCAGTGATAGGAAGCAATGACGTAAACTTAATAAGGAAGTCGATATATAATGAACGTAGGAAACTTTTTCCAACTTTACCGAAAAGTTTGGAGGACGCTCTAAACTTTGTTTCAGATAGCGATATTTTAACCTGCCAAAATGAAAAAATGACATTCATGTACAAACAAGATTAAATGATTTATTGTTACGTGTAAAAAAAAATATTGAATTTTTATGTAATCATTGTGATGAATACTTGACTGAAGGAACTTTTACATACAACCCAAAGTATTTTTATCAACTGTATACTATACACGAATGGAGCAGAAATTATTATTTTCCTCTAGTACATTGTTTTTTACCTTCTAAAACTGAATCGTGTTACTTAAAAATGTGGGTCAATATTAAAAATATATGTTTGGAGTTAGGACAAGTTTTAAATATAAACATTATCCATTTAGATTTTGAGATAGCTGCTCATATGGCTGTGCAAAACCCATTTTCTGGAGTAACAGTTAAAGGCCGTAGATTCCACTATGGTCATACTTTATGGCGGAAAATCCAATCAAAGAATAACCTACGATAATCATATAATGCTAAGCAAAATGAAACTGGTGAGTGGCTAAAAATGTTTTTTGGATTACCATTTTTACCAGTACATGAAGTCACTGATGCATTCATTGATTTAATGTCCATATGTCCAAAAGATGCACGTTCTGAATTTGGAGACTACATTCTTAACACCTACATTGAAGGACAATTCTCAATGAAAATTTGGACCCATCCAATCAATGCAAATATAGCTACAAGGACTACGAATGGAGCTGAAAGATTTCACCTAGGGTTTAATTCTGAATTTTATTCTCCGAATCCATCTGTATTTATGGTTATTGATGTTTTAAGAAATATTCATATCGATACAGTGAAACGTATGAAAAAGTACCATAAGGGAATTCAAAATATAACCCGTCCAATTGAAAAACAAAAATAAGTTAGTAAATAGGTACATAATAATAATATTTTTGATTTTTAATGAAATTGTAATTATTTTTAGGAGTATTTGTTTCAATTTTGGGAAGAATTTTTACGTGACGGAGATCGTATAAAGTTTTTAAAAAACGTCGGCAGTCGGTTTCAGCCAATCAAACTTTGAAAGTTTTAAATTTTTTTAAATTAATATTTTAAATTATTGAATATATACATTTTTAAGTTGACATTAATTAATACTTTAGGTATAAAATGTTGAAATATATAAATTTTTTTTTATGTACTATGAGATCATAAATATGAATTATTGATTTAAATTATGAATTGCAAATTATGAATTATACACATACATATGCTTTTTTTGTTTATCGACCTTTTTGGGGTCAAAATCATAACTGTGCGGTTTTGTATAGTTATGATTAATTAGGTTAATTAATTAAGTTATTAATTTATAAAGTTGTGCGGTTTTAACCTACCAAAAGTGTGCGGTTTTTGGAGTCAACGGTTTACTTGCTACTCATACAATGACACAGTTAAAATGTACGCGTGATATAAATCGCCTAAATATTACTCCTCAGAACATGATAAGCTGAAATCCCCTTAAATAATTACATAATATACATATATCAATATTATCTTACTCCAAAAAAATGGCTGCTAATTATTGTTATAATTGTACAGGCAGAATGCGTTGCAGAGTGACAGTTACTTAAAATATGTTAGTTAAGTTAGTTAACAATACTAAAAAAAAACATCACAAATTCGATTTATTGTATGTTTATACTGAAATATTAATAGAATATAGAGTATTTGTTAAGAACAAATTCGTAAATTGGAATTATTTACAAAATTATACTACTTTCTGGTGTTTTCTGGTATATCAGTTTATCTAGTTGGAGATTCTCTGAGAAATTCCAATTCATTCTCCAATTCTGAAATTTCTTTGTTTAATTTTAGAACTTTTGTATTGATTTTGGCAAATGCCATTATATTTGTTATTCTAAAATAAAAAAAACCGATACATTCTCGAATTTACAATAAATTAATCTCTTTCGTATAAAATTTACTATTTTTAAGACACTTAGATTAAGTTGATCGTTAAAGACAACAGAAATCCCCTTTCTACCGAGTTTTTAATAAAATGATGGAACTATTATGGTTAATTAAAAATCTTATACCAAGTACCAACAATACTAATGAAGGAAACATAATTCATTTAAATCAATATGAAAAGCTAATTTAGAAATTTATCGACGATCAAAAAAAAAGAAGTAAAGTTAAGCCAAGTGAGAATTTACTATTTATTGCAAGTAATAAACCAAACCCCAGAAAAATGACAAAGATTTAGTATTATGAATAAAGAATACATGTCAAAACTCAACCATTCAACTATAGAACACTTTTAAAAGGCACAAAATATTTAATATGATTTGGCTTTTTTTTAAAATTATTATTATTATTGTATCAACAATAACCTATTGAAATTTATTCATTCACTCCACTCAATTATTGCCATGCTCAACTGTCCTGAATCCAAATTATATAAAGGTATCTCGTAAGTAATCTTGTTCATTATATATTATTAAAGTTTATTAGTATAGGGAATGGCACAAAAAAAATTAGGATATTTACTTTTCACCACTATGATGTTTTAGTTTATCATTCAAACTGAAGTTTATATGGCATTTTAATTCGTTTAATTCCCACTTCATTTGGTCAATGTCTTCGTCAGCCTCTTTATTTCTTTTTTTAGTTCTACTTGCTATTTTATATAGTTCAGTTAATTTTAGGTTTAGAATTTCTTTTGACTTTGAATAAGTCTTAAAAATAAAACATTATATAAAACCCACAAGGTATACATAAAAATAAATTTAAATCGTATATTGTTAATAGCTTACAAATTTGATAGCAGATATTTCTTTGTCTAACTTTTGTTTAGCTTGTTCAGTAATATTAATTCCTTTTATCTTGAACTTGAAATAGTACAACATATTTTCTGTTATTTTCATTGATGTTATAAAATCAAAACGAAATGTATACAATTGAGTTTTGTGATTTTTTAGTAACTCGTATTCCCATTCTAATAACCGATGTCTACATTTGAATCTAAGTAAGTTAGATACAGCATCAATTTTAATATTACCCATTTCCTAAAAATGATATATATATATATATATATATAATAATAATATATTTTTTAATAATAAATATTGTTTGTTGTAATAGTATTATTTGTACTATACATACAAAGTTACTGCAATGATGAGAATGATAAGAACACTGAGTGGAGAACAATAGTGGTGTTTATCAAATTGTATATCAATACAAATTATATAAAAGTGTAATATCTCATTATTTTAATATTCACTAGTTATTATCTACATTAATTGTATAAACGTATTTAAAAGTGTACTTTAATTTCAGCGTTCACTTCATCTATAGCATTTTTGGAAATAAGTGATGTATTTTCGAAATCGCTGAAGTTTCCTGTTAGAACAGTTTCAACGTTTCTCTGTTTTACTACTAATTGAACCTAAAATTTAAATTAAAAGTAAATGTTAATACATTTGTACCTTTTATTTGCATTTCTAAAAATCATAACCTAACGGATAACATTACCTCAGGATTTTCTTCATAATATAGATCTTGATGTTCCAGTCTAACTATAGATATCTTTAATTTTTCAATCATAGCTTCCTTATTTTCCTTATTGTACTTCAAGCTTTCTAATAAATAGCCGTTGTCTGTTGCATCTTTTTGACAAGTACTGATATTAAATTCAGTTTCAATTTTCATACGTCTAAAACTGCAAACCTTAGACCAAGTTTCTCTGTTCATATTCAGCTTAAAATGTTCTACATATTTATAATCGTCATACACAGTAAGTGTATCTAAGTATTTAACGAACTCTGGGGTCAAAATACGTAGATTATCATATGTTGGATTCATTATTGTGTGGACAAACTGGTAACCGAGTAATGACGAGTAATTTTTATTGCCATGCATTTTAGGTCTTCGACTAAGAATTAAAATTAATTTGATAAGGTGTAAACATGCATTTAAGAAAAGTAGCTTTTACTTGTAGGCGATTAATGCTTGTTCGTATTTGAGCTTGGATGGAAACTCGGATTTAAAACGTTTATTAAGATTGTTGTTTTTATGATTCAATGCTTCTATAATATTAAATAAAGAATTTGGCTCGGATATTGCTACTTTTTTATTCGTTTTCGCAATAATTTCTTCAATCTCCACGATGTGTTCTCTTAACTTCAACATGACTTCACTTCAAACATAATTTTAAAAATATCATGAATTGTCTTAAAAATATTTATTTATAAATTATTTATACTTGTATCCTTTAATTTGCTGTTTTCGTTGATCACTATAACTTAACATTTTTGAAAGCCTAAGCATTTTTAAATGCTCCTGGTCGATAGCTGAATTATACTTCAACCTCATTTGAAACAGCATAATTACATTGTTATCAAATTCAATAATAATCTGTTCGATGTGATGGTAGATTTTAATCTTTTCTTCTTCAAGAATATTTTTGTATTTTATTCTTTCGTCATTCAGAGTCAAAGTTAGTTTTTCATACACATCTATTGCCTTAAAATCTTCAGCTGTAAATTCCTCAGGACTTTTATTCAACTATAATCAAAGATGATTATTCTACTATGGAGGAATTTAGTAAATATTAAAAAATTTACACTACCATGCATTGAGGTTTAGGCACATCTTTTTTTAACTCATCTTCCCATCTTTTTTCCAGCACACCATCCATCATAATCATCAATGCCCTATGTTTAAAGTCATCCAACGTTAACAACTTACTGTTTTTTTCTTCATTAGTTGACATTTTGTTATTGGTATGATGAAACGGTTCAACCGGAACTTCATTGTCATTGATGTATAACAGTGTTTCGGTTTGTTCATATTTATTCCATTTATAATTCACCGGTAAAGGTCCAGAAGATTCAACTTAGAAATAAAAATGAATAATAAGTACGAGTTATTTTTAGATTTTGTCAGTTTCTTCGGTTCAAATACCTTTGCATGCCATCATCAATTCAGTTTCAATTACACTTAATCTATCCTGATATTCCTTCAAATTATCCAATTGTCGTTGTTTTTCAATAAACAAGTCATCAAATAGTTGATTAAACTTATGTTTTAATTTGTTAACCATGAGCTAATCAAGTAAAATATGATTGTAAGCATTAATAATTTCAATAGTTTATCAAAACATTTGTATATTATTATTTACGTACTTGAAGTAAAATTATTTCATCTTCAGCCATGTCTAATTTATAATAATTGTATTGAGAATTTAAAGTGTCGATAGTATCAATAAACTTGTAACTCATTGAACCCATCATTGATAAATCATTATTTTGTTTATAATTTAGTTCCGAATTCGATTCAACATCCAATATCTCAAAATGATCTCTAGGAAAAAATTTTTTTTCGCATTCTACATTATACAACATTTATTTCTAAATTTTTACTTGAAAAATAAAGCTTCCATGGATATTTGTTCTGACATATCTCTGACAAATATTCTTTCTTCTATGATTTTATTTGCCTTTTCGGTGATTTTTTGGTCTAGTATACTTATTGGATAGTTGTCTACTTTATATATATTTTTTAAACACTAAAATTAAATTTAAATTCAGTATCTCAAAAACAGCTTTTTTATAATTTTTTTTAACTTACATATATGGATTTTGGTTTGATAAATAAAGTTTCCCATTTTTCCTTTATAATATTTGCAGTTTCTGTTTTAAAATTTTCTATGTCACTAATATTTTTTTCTTCGTATTCTTGACGTTCAAGCTTACATTTCGCTCTGACATTTTGTGTATAATTTACATTCAAATCGAATTCTTCAATATTTATTTGCATGTATTCCGGTCCATTGATATTCGTTTCGAATAATTGTAAAAACTATAATACAAATATTTAACAAATTCATTGATAGTGGAATATTGACAATAATAGCAACACGATAAGAAATAATGATGTAAACATAATAAAAAAACTAGAGAGTAATGTAATGCACGCATATAGTAATAGTAGCTAAAAAATTAAATAATAAAGTTACCATAATAGAGTATAAATAAAATTAAATACAATTAGTAATAAACATAATACAAAAATATGTTACTCAAAAGTTATAGTTTCTGAGCTGAGCATGCGGTGTAGTGAGTAATTATGATTGAATGGGGGTACAAAGGTAATTAGCTGCCAGGTAATATACCCCGGATAACATCCTAGACGGCAAAAGAATTATCACCACTGGCTGCTGTACTGTTCTTAGAACCTCACAGTAAACATAAGCAACACCACCACCACCACCACCACCAACACCAACCAGTCAACAGTCCTTTTGAGGACTATTTTACTTGAGATTGGACAATCAGCTCAGAATTTTTCAACTCGTTATAAACGAGTTTCAATTCCTTAATCAACAGCGATAAAAGCAGATATCTTGAAAGACTTCTACAGGAATATAAAATTGTTGTAGCATTACTACAGGAAACCCATGTCCCAGAAGAGGAACAAATTACATGGAGAGCGACAATTTCTGGAATCACTATAATTTCAGCTATGGACCTCCCCAACTTACGGTAGGAACGATATAAACAAATGGAGTTATCTACATATACTGCATACATTATAGGTATACGTGTCACTGAAATAACAATCCTTAAGTATGTTAACATATATCTAACGAAATGTGAACCGCCCCACCACTTCCAGTTCTACCACATCCATTAATTTATATTGGGGATTTCAACCACCACCATACAAATTGGGGTTACGAAATAAATGATACCAATGGTTAAACCATATGTAATTGGATATAAAGCGAAAACATGCAACTGCTGTTCTACTAAAAAAATAGGAAAACATTTCTTTCAAGTCGGTGGATCAGAGACTACAATTTTGACTTATGAATTGTCATTTGTAAAAAAAAAAAAGCACCGAAAAAAAAGGTAGTTAAGAAATAAATGTCAGTTTTGACACTGGAAGTAAGAAATATTAAGCACCTAATATACTTGGGTGTGGTATTTCATAGAACACTCGCGTATATTTATCAGTAAAAGTTAAGACCTATCAGAGCATCATTTAAAAATTGTATAGCTTAACATGGAGAGCTGACACAAATATGTTACACATAAGTACGCTATCATTAGTATACTTCACAGCTGAGTATTGGCTTCACAGCGTTCACACAAAACACATAAATAAACCTTAATGCAGAAATGCGCACAATTGGCTGGTTGACAAATTCCACACCACTAAAATGGCAACCAGTGCTTAGTAATATTGGCCCTCCAAAATAACGAAGAGCACACTCACTCATTCAAAAATGGAAAAAGTATGTTGGTAATCCTTCCCTCCCCATACACAACCCCTTGGAAACTCTATAAAGTGCTCAACGACTCAAATCCCGAAAACCATTTTGGAAAATAGCAAGAGATTTCATCAGAGACAAATTTAATATAAATGATAAATAAGAAAATGACTGGAGAACAGAAAACTCAGATGACCAAGAATTAGTGATTAACGCAACTATTAAACAACCGGGATTTGAGCTCAAAAGAAATACCTGGGTAACACTAAACCATATCAAGACAGGCTATGGTAGGAGTGGGCACATTATGTACAAATGGGGACTGCGTGATTCTGAAACATATAACTGTGATTATAAATCTCTGACGATGAAACATATCCACCACCGCATGTCCGATTCGTGCATTCAAGGGGATTATAGAATATAGAAGGACAATACTATGGGATGGATGAAGAACCTGAACTTGAAGCTAAACACGACTTCCACATTATCCGTTATTAAAAGGTTTATTGGGGAACTTCTGTTTCTTTTTATATACAGTAGAAATCACTATAACGAACATCGCTTAGAACGAGATACTGCTCACAACAAGCAAAACATTAGGTCAAGGCACGAGCACATATGATTGCATGTTAAAATATACATCTACAACAAGTATGGTTATTACTAGTTATCGGCTATAACGAGTAAAATAAAACTAACTTGACTAACGACCTTCCGATTACTACAAACAAGTACCTGAAAGATAAGAACTATTTTCGTATTTAGGTCGATTAATCATTGACGTACATTATCTTTAGTTGTGTAGATATGGATTACTTATTAATAATAAACATTATTCTTACATATTCTGGTGTTTTCAAGTTAATACAAATTACAAATAACGTCAGTTGCGTGTAGACGTCCCACCAAACGTTATCAGTTTACGCTGGACGAACAAATCGGTATAATCGGGCGTTTAGAAAATGGTGAGAAAAACAGTATGATTAAAAAAGAATTCGGCACCTGTTCGTCGACCATTTCGAACATATGGAGGAACCGGGATAAGTTGAAAAATATATTTCAAACCACGCCACTTAACGCAAATCGAATACAATTTTTTTATCTAAAAAAAAAAAAGTCGGTTTTATTTTTGTATTTCCGCTTTTGATCGGTCACAACGAATGTTCGTTCTAACCCCATAACATAACGAGCTACCTCTCGGTTATAACGAGAAAAACTAGCTGGCCCTTGAAACTCGTTATAACCGATTTCTACTGTAATTGTTGTATCTGTATTTATTCTATTTGTTTGTTTGTTTATTTTTTAGTTTTATCATTGTTGACCATATCAAAATTGCATACATGTTCTGTGTGAATAATCTTTCTAAGTGTTCGTGGTGCTGCTCGTGGATGCCAGACAAAATAAATAAAATTATCATATGAAGTGGTGTGGCTTGGTACAGAAAACGGAAACTGGTTGGGAGTGGAGTATGACAGAACTTTAAAATAGACTCTTTCAAGAAAATCATGAGCATCTAGAAACCTATTTAAAAGATAATCAACTAATTTTTGGTCAGCTGAAATCCGCCGAGAGGAGAGAGTTTGGATTTGAAGGATGTCGCGGATGACTGAATAGTCATTATTTGTCATTGGGATCTAAGAATATAAGTGGTATACGATAAAAAATGGTTTTGAACACGTTCAATGCGAAGTTGGTCTTTCCTACGAAAAGGGTGCCTTACATAACACCATATTCAAGAAGAGGCCTAACAATTTCAAAATACATAGTACCAAGACATTGTGCAGATTTAAATCGTTTTGTGTTACGTTTAATGCAACCTAGGACTTTTAATGCTCTGCTTACAGTTATATTAATATAGTGATTAAAGGAAATAGTTGATGAATAATATATCCCGAGATCTTTAATAATAGTAACTCGCTGAAGTTGAGTTATTAAGGAAATAAGAGTAAACTAAGGGTGAACGGGATCGGGAGAAAGTAATAACTTCACACTTACTCAAGTTAAGAATTAAGCTTATGTTAGTCATTTAATGACAAAAGGAACCAAGTTCATCTTGTAAATTTTGGCAATCGGCATGATAGTCAATTTGTGAAATATGTTTTTATATACATTTTTTTTTTGTAGCAAACTGATCTCATGAAGTTGGAGTAGGAGGGAGATTAGGATACTTTGAATACCAGTGAAATATTTGTAGGATCGCCAAAAATGAAATGCCTGTTAAAGATTTTAAAGAATATTTTCTGGGTCATTCTTTACCAGCTGAGAGGAGAGGGTCTCAAAAATGTTATGTTAACATTATTGATATGACAGAGATACAACAGATATATAATGATGGTGATGATTTGACAGCGACTGATATGGGTTATGAATATTTTTTATTAGAATGGCATACTCATCTACCTATTACAGGTAACTAAGTAAAAAAAATAATTGAAATTATTTTTTAAGCTTTACATTTTAACTAAATTTAACTATCAAATATTATTATAAATGTTTTTATTTGTGTTCAAAATATTTATAAGAACAATTTTTTTTTAAAATCTGAATGTGGTATTCATGCTCCAGAGGATTACTTGGTTTGTGTTTTTAATATAGCTACATATTGTAATTTGTTTGCAGCTAATAGGCAAATAATATGTACTAACCTAATCCGTGACAAGTTAATTGTGAACGCGTGTTGAATAAATTTAATATTATCAAAAATCATCTACACTCTTCGTTATCTTATGATAGTTTTATTGATGTATGCAGATAAATAAATATTGAACAATTTGTAGTTAATGAGATATTTTGGTAACCTTAGAAACTCATCTCATACTCTATCTTCATTATGCTAAGTATAAATATTTAAATATAAAATGTAATTTTCCATACTGCTACATAGTGTAACTTATGGACATGTATTGATATATTTTCTTTGTAATCAACGTAGAAAAAGTTTCTAAATTCTAATTCTATTAAAACGAAAAGACTAGGCTATGTTGGGTCGTTATAGTTATGTAAATGGACCGGTTGTTAGAATAGAATAGTGGGCTAATACCATTCCAATCTGGCCCTGCGTCAGACAATAAAATATTAACAACCTTGGCCACGAATCATCTATTCATAACCAAACTGTAACTCAAATTAAATATTATCCTAGCTTAGGGGTGGCCTTTTTTCTTATTGTTACACAAAATATAAATTTTAATTTTTAATTTTTTTCACAGTATCGGAATAATAATCGGGAAATTCCACTGCAAAACCTAATTTAATATCTTATGATGTTACATTATTATTTAACGTCATAGATATTATTTTTACACAAATGTTGTATCGTATAATATTTACAAATTTCATGGTTTAGTTTAGAAATATTAAAAAATTATGTGTTATTTCATCTAACCCTGGTGTGCCACAAATGGACCCCCCCTATTTTTGCATATAGAGTTATTTTTTACTTTAGTTTTTATTTTTTCAAAATCTTCAATTATGTTATTTTTTTGGCAACCATATGTAACTTTACTTGCGTTTAATTCATCTTGTTTATTAATCATTAACCAAGTCAAACGTTTTTGAGCTGAAAAATATACCATGAATAATTTGTTCGTTAATTTTTTGTTTATCTTACTATACACTATTAATAATGAAAAAAACTAACATTCTAGTCCATCATCAAAACCAATCCCTTTCGTTTTAAAATTTTCAACTATACCTGGAGTATTTACTTTATTAATCCGTCTAATACGATTAAAAGTGCTTCTGAAATCCGATATTGGTGTTACGATTATATAAGCCAAAGACCAAAATATATTTTAATTCATTTCATAGAAAAATTTACTTTAAGCTTGTACACATGAAGTTTCCTTGATCACTTAGTGTTAGTACGTTACGGATATTTTCATCAATTTCTGCAGCTATCAACCCAATGAGCCAATGATTACAGTTTACCATAGTAATTTTTTTCCACTGTCCATCATCGTCTAATTCATAAAGGCAATACGAGCCATTTGGACTGAATATAATACAATGATTTTCCATTATATAAGTTTTAATATTTCTTAATTGACGGTCTAACGGTATAGTTTGTAATTCCAACACTTTATCCTTAACGAAAAACATAATTTGATATTAATAATATTAGCTCATAAATAATATGTAATTTATTATCATACTTTAATGATATTTATTGTCATCAAGTGAATAACATTTGACAACAAGACAGAAAAGGCTACGTTTATAGCACCGGATACGTTACACGGACTCCATTTAAATACTGATGTGTAATAATATTGCGTACCTTTCAATTTAAAAACAACCTCAAAATTTGAATCAAATATTATAATATTATTTCCAGCATTTTCTGAATTTTTTTGATTTGTATATAATACTGTTAAAAACGACGATTTCTTAAGGTCGATTATGTCAATATCAATAACGTGCTTTCCCAAATGATGTTCTCTAACCACAGAACATGTCTGCCCTAAATTAATCTAAAAGATATTATTAAATTAATTACATTTTTATTCTACTATGACTTCGTGGAACATTAACTCTGTTTTATTATTTAACTATTTAATGTGCACGAATACAATAATAGTTCATCTAAATTATTTTTAATTTTTAGTTATATACAATGAACAGTCATTAAGTAGGTAATACATTTATTTATGAAATGTCAAATAATTATAAAATTGAATGTATTAAGTACTTAAAATTTACTTACACTTATGTAAAAAAATCGGCCAGTGGGAAAACTAGTGACGTTACAAGTGTTTCCATCAGAGAAAAATTTAACAGAAGATAAGTCTTCATCACATAACACTATTTTTGAAATGCACTCTATTTCGTTAATTTTGGGATCAGTTTTCAGCAATTCCATTTTGCCATCTTTAAACGTAATGCAAATATAGTTGTAAAACGGATTACTACACAAATTCGTTGCAATCCCGTTTAGTGTCATCTTGCTCTTCTAATAAACAGCAAGAAACAATAGAAAACTACCCTACTTAAGTAGGTATATATTATAATTGTTTACCATTTCTCCGGTCAACACATCCCACACTTGCAGAATGTTTGTATCGTTAATGGTAGCCACCGTTTCATTTGTAGGTTTTATAAACGTAAAATGCTTGATTTTTGATCCATAAACTTTCATTATTTTAATTTTTTTCTGGGTTAGTTGTAATAATATCCCCTAGAATATTAGGAGAAATACATAATTTATTGTCTTTAAAAACATTTTGTAAGCACATGATGCTAACATGTGATGGTATTATTTTATTATTATACCTCATTCGACCAGCCGTAAACATCGTTTTTTACAGCTACAATACTCTGCAATGTGTAATTAACGACCATAGTCCACATTTTAGTAAAAATACCTCTGGTGTCTTTGAAATACTATGGATTGAACACATAATAGTATAAATGACTTATGTTTATATTATTAGATGATTTTAGCAAGAGGCTATATTATTTATTTTTTTATTTTTTTAAAGATTTAGTATTATACCTAAGTATCTTACTAAGATATTTTAACATGTTCAATAATAAATAATTTTACATCAAAACAATTAAGAAGAAACAAGCAAATACAGTGTACAATTCTGGTTAAATCAATTACATAAGAAATTTTAATTTTAAGAAGAAGGATTGGTATTGACAATAGACATAAGGCAATCATGGATTCATAAGTTATTTTTTAGTGGAGTGGAAAGGAAGTAAATAAATATTCTAGTTAAATAGATTAACTGAAACGGAATATTAAAATAAAGTTTGGAAAGTATTTTTGGAGAGAAATTTCTGCAGAAAGTCAATATTATCCTTGTTGAATATTGAGCATTTATGCACGCCACATGACACACGTAATATTAATATAAAATAAGCATCGGTTGAAACTGTCCATCTGTCATTAGTGAGTAAGAAATTTGAATGTTCATTTTTGCGATTTACAGTTAAAAATAAAGGAATTTTAATTAAGTTTGTGGTATTATTCATATTAACAATCCACAACAATCCACAAGTTTCAGGTCGGCTAAAATTACTAAATTAAAGGACGGTGTCATAGCTATGTAAAGGATGATCAATTTTGAGCAAAAAAGGTTCATATTTAAGTAATCGAGCTAAACTCTTTGTCTATTTTTAATTGGCTCAACTAGTGGGGTGCACAACGCACAAGGCCGTAGCCAGGGGGGTAGGGTCCAGACCCCCCCATCCCCGAATTTTTTTTTAAATAATATTGAATAGTTTTAAATGCCTATTATATTTGATACGTGTCACTGTGATTACAACACATAAAAAAATAAAACGGTTTAACGGTATATTTTATATTTATATTGTGTTAGATAAGCGATAACTAAACTTAATGTAATTTTGAAAAAACAAATATATAGCTCACATAATACCTACAGTATCTAATCTTAATTAAGATTAAACCCCCCTCCCCCCGAAATATTTTTCTGGCTACGGCCTTGACAACGCAATAAAAAATTATATTTCTATTATTTTGAAGTAAAAATGATCAATTAATAAAACAATGTTGAACTATACCTATAGTGCTATAGTGTTGATTGAAGAATATCAAAAAAAGGTACTTGGCTATTATGTTATTAGCGGCTAGCTAGAATATTATTAAGACATATTCTTACACTTATTTAATGTTCAACAGAACAAGGCACTGATACGTAGTTAACCTTATTTGTGTAATAATAATCATAATAATATTGTATTATAAATTTACGAAATAACTTTGAACATTTATATAAATAGTCATCATCGTCCTCGAAACCATTGAATGAAGAATAATTCTTATAATAATAATTATGTCTATCATTATCACCGTCAGCTGACAATTTTGGTTGACCGCGTACAGCACAAAACCCTGTTTGCTGGGGCACACCAATGGGGTCACCACATCATCATCACTGCCACGTTTCACTGAGACCGGATCTACTGCCGTTGTCACAAACATTTCTGGTTCCGGTGCCCCCTGATGCACGCGATAAACGTTTCCCAACGAGTCACAGAACACATACCATCCGTATGGAGTCCAGCACCCGGATCCGGTAGCATCTGGAGGAGCCTTTACCAGCGTCCTCTCTGCATACACCGTATTACTGGCCAAGAACAACGTCCACAACTGGAGCATACAACCAACGTCGAGTTCAGTCTGGCACAGGTACACGTCGTTTCTGCCCATTGTGGTTATCGCTGAAATACTGCGCGTGAAGTAACGTAAGCATCATATTAAAATATATTTTATACGTAGGTTGACATAATTTCAAGATCGACACCAAATCCAGGACCGGATCAAACCATTTATTTATTAATTTACGAAAATTTGCAGATCATAGGTGTGTAAAATAGAGACCACCAACTCGTGGGTGGAGTCTTCTTCGAGATTTCAATGATGAAATTTACATATATTAATATAGAAACTAGTAAGCTGAACGTTAGTGCACACGTTTGGGTAATTTTACCTGGTAAATCAAAAAAACATTTGGGTACTCATTTTCAGTTTTATTCAATCAATCCAAATTGTTGTAGTATTATCACTAGAGCCCGGATTTATATGCAAATGCATGTTCGTACTAAGTGTATGCACGTCTATGGGGGTTTAAAATGTAAACGGTTCATATCACACCGATTTTAAACACCAAATTTTATATTGCATATTTTGCATATTTCTAGGGTTTTTGCATATTTGTTCATAAATGCATGTGACATGCATATTTAATAGGTTTTTAATAAATAAATAATTTTATTTTACAATACATTTTGGAATTGCCTCACTGTATGAGATCGGAGCATGAATAGATATGATAGATATTAACAAACATACGTAGTACGTACTACGTACACACTCGCGTCCCGAATAAAGTCGCTAATAATAGTCTAATAGTCTTAAATTCACGGCCGACAGAAATATGTCGGCCGGTGATAATAACCACCACCCGGCACGACGACAATTAATTAATACGCAGTCATCGACCATCGTTCGTAGTTTCGTACGACGTACGTCAACGTGTTTGTCTGCTGAAGTGCTTGTTTATCAAGTTTTAAAAACAAAGACAAAATTATTAAAAAGAACCTATTATAATATTTTAACTTTTAGTGTTGTTCTGACAAGTTTTAAAATTTATATTATTAATGTAAAATGTTTAAAATATTTAAATTTTCAAAAATGTTATATTAAAAGATTTGTATTTCTTTTAAGTTCTCCATTAGTTTCTTAGGAGTAACTTTAAATGATCTAAAATATTTATGTATGATTTTAGTTGTTTTTTTATTTGTATTCTCTTTTTTAAGTTTCCTAAATGTTTTAGATTGATTTAAATGATTTGAAATACAGAGCAGTGGATATAATCATTTTTTTTTTGTTTTTGTTAAAATTTTTAGAATTTTCTTTGGTGTAGTAGTGTGGTTTTTTTTAAAAAAAAAAAAAACACATTTTATAAGTTGTAACATAATGCATATAATTGCATATTTAGCCACTTTTTCTTTGCATATTTGCATCATATTTGACACTTTTTAAATGCATATAAATCCGGGCTCTAATTATCACCTTAATCGAAATTCAAGAAGAAGAGTTTTTAAAGATACACAGTATATAGAGAAATGTTAAGAAAATTAAAAGAAAATAGAATTTACATAATGTTACTACATTTAAGACAGTAAATTGTAATGAGTATAAAGTTAAAGAAGTTGAAATATGTATGTATTAATATATATATGACAATATTTGTATGAGAACGGTCAATGTTTAGTCGGAAAAAAATGCAGATACATAAGTAAAACAAGATTTTAATATAATACAATTATGATTATGACAATATGTAATAATAAAAATATTTTATGTTACAAAAAACATGTTTGCGAGACTTCTGGTGTCTCCTAGTTAACGTCACGTAACAGATTAAAAAATAAAATAGTAAGACAATTTTATCTTAACGTTGGTACCCAAATGTGGTATCTATAATTTTAAAAATATGATGTACCCACACATAGTACTTATTTTTGCAGTGTTTGTCAATTACGTATAATTATTACCTCAAGTAAAAAAATTGATTGGTCGTTCTCGTTTGTGCATTGCGCATGCTAACAATACAAATGTATATATCTGCATACTAGAGACATGAACGGATGATACACAGGGTGGTGGGAGCCCGATAGTATTAATAACTGATAACTTATG